CCGTTCCGAGATGGGTTAAGGTTAATGTTGATGGCTCCTTCGTAGAATAATATATGGTGAGGCAGGCGTTGGAGTCATTACGCGAGATAGCTAATAGCTCCGTTATTGAATCAAACCGTGCAAGAGTGGTGGATGCCCTCCAGAATAAGAAGTTGGATAAATCAGAAGTCAACTTTGAGGTTACGGAGGCGAAGGAGATGCCCCAGCTGCTGTCAGAGGGGAAGGTTGTTCAGGTAAAGACATGGATTAATAGAGTAGCCAATGATTTAGCCATATTAATTAGCTAGGAGAACGGTACAGTGGTTAAGGCGAGCACCTGCGTGCGTGGAAAGCCTTACCCAATCCGAATGTAATTATGAAATTTCCTGGTTAATAAAGCTCTCTCTTACCCAGGGGAAAAAATTACATATTTAAAGTGGTTGTTTCATCTATATTTTCATTTCATTTTAGCTGGCGTGTCATTCTTAGAAACAAAACTTTTCACTGACAATGATCTAATAATTACTATAAAGACGCGGCAATTAGTCCGGCTACTAATCCACGCGTTTTCATGGTCAATAATGTATCCAGCACTAACAAAAAGCAACAAGCACTGATGAGTAGCGTAACAGTAGCACACTGTGCGCGAGCAGTGCGTGGATACGCACCAGGCAGCAAAGTCGAGTTGAAGGTAGTGGATGGGGCGATGCATGGATCGCGGGCACCCGCAAACGTAGCTGTGGCGTCGTGCACGCACGCGCACAAGGACGGTGAGAGGATCCCCCGTCGCCTCCCACCCCCACCCCCACCTCCTCTCCTCAGTCTCGTATGGTGCGTATGCTTTTGATAACGAATCTGGATTTCATTTGTTTCCATGCTTGGAAATGTTCTGAAAAGGTTCTTTGATTCCTCTCGTTCCACGTCAATCCTCGTCTATGTTCGCGCGACTTGGAAATGTTCTGAAATGTTTTGTAAGATGTCATCAGATTCTTCCCCCATCGTCGTTAATAAGAAGTTTCACCTTGTTTGATGAACTAGCTATCCTTGCAAAGATGTGGGCAACGATATTGGACACTATACTATCATGCATATAAAAAGTGGCTTATTTAGTTTGGATCACGAACACATATGCAGGCATGGATATTTGTGTACGTACCGCCGGTTGGATAATTAGCATGCCCACCACACCTGTTCCTTTCCGAGTGCTAGCCTTACTATAGGAGAGTGAAATTAAACACGCTTTAAGAGACTTTACAAATGAGGTGTTCTATTGTAGACATATAGAATGGGAGCGGATGTTTAGTCTGAAAAAAAAAACTGAAATACATTGCAAAATATTGAAGACTGAGCAACTGGTTTCAATCATTCCAGTTCGGTATTCCTTCTAGACCGAACTAACTGAATAATTTTGGCATCGCTTTCTCTATTTCAAAACATGTGTTTGTCTTTTGATAGTAAAAAAATATCACAAGATGAACAAAATAATATATTAACATCGATACTCCATATGCACTATCTTGCTTTCTCAAGGAATCAAATTTTTTGAAAGTTTAATCAATATATATATATATATATATATAAAGGTACTAATCACAACTAGAATATTAGATTTCTTCTAGTGAGGTGGGGTTCTCCTAGTGTTTTGATATTTAAAATTTAGTATAAATTTTTCCTACTAAATGTCTCCTAGTGAAATTCATGTGTGCTGTGACTAGTGGTGGTGCTTTATTACTACTTAAAAACACTAGGAGAATTCCACCATTTCACTATTTTTGTTGTGAATATTTATGATGTGTAATAAATATCATTAAATTTATTATATTATAAAAAATATTTAAATATATAAATATTATGTATTATTTTTATGTATCTACTTAAATTTGAAAACTTGACTCCTGAAAAAAAAAGCGAGATGCACATTTTAAACACAACCGGGGACATGCGGTCCCGCATGGTACGGACCGCTCGTTGGCGTTGGGATGTGGACCTCAAGCCACGTGACGGATGGCAATGGCATCTATCGGTGCCGGCGGTGGGTGCGCGGCTGTGCTCGTGCGCGCGCGCGGCACACGAATCCGTGTCCGTCCGCGGTCCGCATGTCGAGCCGTCGCCGTCGCCGACTATTCGCCCCACGCCGGGGCCGCCGTGCCGAGACAAAGGAGGCATCGCGATCACGTGAGCTGGCAGCGGCGATTCCATTCCGTTCCCAGCCGCTTTCGCGCGCACGCTGTCCATCCTGTGTCCACAAGCCCAAACCGCGTGGGACGCAGTAGCGTCCGCCTGCCATTGTTGGCCTGTTGGGTTGGGGGTCCAGTGCGTGGGCTCCACGTTGCCAGCTAGCTGCAGAGCGTTCTGTCTCAACACCTAGCTCATCGGTTTGCAGCCAAACATGTGCGACACAAAGTTACAAACGACATTATTCCAAGATAGCCAAGTTTGATTCACGATGATCCGGACGTGGGTTTGGTTCACACACTACTACTTGTGTTTGTGGTGGGCAAGATCTACTAGAGGTCCCACTCCAGCGCGTCAATGTGCAAGAAACTAAATGTGGTACCGATACTTTATACTTATCCTCTTTATTTAATTATCTATTATATCTACATAGTAATAAATTACTTTCTCCATCCTAAACTATATGTTATTTAATTTTTATATTTTTTAGACACAACCTTTATCATACACTTAGATATACGTTATGTCTAGTTATATAATAAAAATCATATATCTAGACAAACTAAAATGAACTGTAATTTAGAAAGAAGGATTAATAATTAATAAAACCATCGCATGTTGATGTTTAAGCTTCGCTTCGTTTTTATTTTAATTTTTTTGAACCGGGGAGCTTCCTCATTTTGAGCGGATTCGCTTCGTTTTTTAATGGAAAGAGCAGGCTGTCTTGCTAGAATTAGGGTCTGTTACGATCCTATTGTGACTATAATAATCAATCAACTACATTATCTAGTTGTGATCCAAATAGACTAGATTATTATAATCAAAACACCAGACGTGGTGGCCAACCATCTCTGTTAATTAAATAGTCTTTGTTAATGAGTCATCTCCGAGGATTCGAACTTACAACCTTCAACTCACATGACTCCTCCACTGAACTACGGACTCACTTTTGACTCTATATAGGACACTATCTTTTTTTCATCAATATTTTGTAATTATTTGTTGAACATTAAGCCACCAAATGATTTCAAATGAAAAACTTAGGATGTGCCTGCTAGAGTGACGGGCGTCTTTTTTGCGTGAGGGTTTGCTGTGTAAAGGAAGATAGATGATTACATATATAGATATATCTATCTCTCTATCGACTAGTAGCTTTACAGTGTGTAACGAATGGCATGCAACGTCAAGCACACGGCGTGTATATTATATATTAATTAATATATATCTTATATTGCGGATCACAGGACTGGCCACACGAGATACGTAGAGCGTGTGGTACTAACACTAATTTAATTTTACCGAACAAAGCCTGAAGTCTAAACAAGAATCCCCGTTGCTGTTCATGCACGCGTACTTTCCTAAAAGTTGGCATGATGGCGTGCATGCATGCATGTGCAGAGGATTACTACACGTTACATTAATTGAAAAAAAAAAGCTGGGACGACTGAGCTAGCTGCAGTGCAGGGGGCTAGCGTGATGAAGGGGTTCTGTTTGCAAAAGCTTTCTTGATGCAATTAGCTAGGAGCATGATGAATGATTCAGTCAAAGATTTTGAAGGCCTTGTTCTTTTCTTTACCAATGCAAGTAGGAGCATCCTTGTACAACCAAAATCTACGGCATGCATGGCGTCACGCGGTCTATCTATCTATTCTATAAAGCGCGAAAGCAACTAGTAGGACGACGCATAAACTATCGCGGCAACTGGGGAATAATTGTGGTGCAGGGAGATGTGAGGCAAGCTGCTGGACATATAGGATCATCATCTTGATTACTAGTAGTAGTAATACTAATAATATAGTACTAAGAATAACATAAGGTCGTCGTCTCATCGACTAATTTACAATGTCGTGGTCAGTGTGCAATGCATGTAAGGGTTGGGGCTTGGGGCTACAAATCATACGGCAACTTGCTCTGCTTGCTTGTCACGGAAACCGATACCGTGCGTGCCTCTGGTGATTAGGGTCTGTTCTACTGGTGATTTATATAACTGATTTGTTGAGAGAAAAAAATATTGTTCCATGATCGATAAGTCTGAGCAGCCGAACATAATGTTAATTGACGCCCACTGCAAGTTGTGGTTGGTTTGATATGCGTGCGCGTCTATGCACATACACACACGCAAACGCGGACATGTAGATGCAGCATCGAGATTATATTATTATTATTCTATTGCATGCCATGTTAATACTGTAGCTACCCAGCCATGAAGCTAGAGTTGCCTAGTACTCCGTAGCTTTCATGTACCAAGGAATGGATACGTGCTGACGTAACCCTCATGCCTACTCCGAGCTCCGTGTGCAGCAACCAGCAAGGGCCAACCACAACGGAGTCACGATTCACGAAGACGGTATTTCTTTAATGAAACCACCAGACAAAAGCAATTTTGGTGCCACAGAGCAGTAATACTACCCGCGTCATATGCCGCGTACATAAACAGCACAATGGTATTATTACTTCAACCTTCAAGTCACAACACTGCGTTCATCCAACTTAAAAATGTATGTGTGTGGGGAAAATGAAGAGTACAGAGACTGGGCCTTGGAAAAAATGGGTAAGAATCCACGACAGCCTAATCAAGCAATTTTTCCATGTATTGGAAGTTTTACAGTCCACCCCAGCCCACTTCAGATCCAGTTCAACATGGGCCTAACGAATTCTTGAGTAGCCTTTCGACAAGATATGTCGGCCAACAGCCAATACAGGTATGTGTATAGTTATCTAAGTAATCATCCTGTGTTTAATGTCTAATGTAAGAGAAACTCGGTAGGAAAAAACGAAATCATCTATATTATGCAGAAAAAGCAATAGAAGTCAGCAGCCCACCAATAAACTGCTATTCACACACTTCATTGTGATGCAGCAGGAAGCGGCTCACTGGCCATGAGAAGCTCATCAAGCAAACCGGTGAAAACCACGGAATCAGTCTCCTTGGGAATGAACTTGAGGAGCGCGGAAGGGACCAGGTCCTCCTCTTGCAAGGTGCGTGCCCGCTCTCCCGGGTTTGGAAAATGGGGCACCACACGTGGCTTAGGAATGGCTGGAGAGATAAGTTCAAATTCCAAACCTGGTTGCTTCAGAGCAGATGTGACGAACTGCAATAAGGAAAGACAGCACGTTAGTCAGCGGCTACAAACCAGAAACTGCCATAGATAGATTATACTGCAAGAAAATTGGTATAAACATCAAATGGAACAATTTTCAGTGGCACAGGTCACAGAATAACAATATTGAACAGCTGCAAGACTCAGTACATATACAAGTCAGACTATCCATGCTACAAAGCCAAGCCATGAATAAGATACAAGTTCAAATATTAACAGACATTTTCGACCAGAAATAATGCATGAACAAGATACAAGTTTAAAAGGACAATTTCAAGTAGAAAAAAAATGTCCGCATAAAATGATGTACAGGAAACAGCTACGGTGCTTACTTACAAAAATAAGCTAGCATAGATGACAACATGTCAGATTCACAAAGAACATTAGCTACATACAAATAGATCATGTTGATATAGCAAGGGTATTGTACTCGAGCTTCCCATACAGCACTCTATAACTTCTATTAGGGGCAATAGATGAATATCCAGTGTCACTGAAACACCAGCACCACCTGATATAGTCAACCACTGTACCCACAAAGACCAAACAATACATAATATGCACTGCCATGAAGACCACTGTGTACAGGCTACAAAGCCCAGACAAACAGGTTCTGCTGATGGATCCCTGTGTCAGCAACCAAGGTTGTAAATTTTTCTGACTGAAAATGGTTCACAAATCCAACTCCGAACCAATCCTACTTACTCCCTCCATTCCAAATTATAGTCCACTTTGGTTTTGTCCTAAGTCAAACTTATCCAACTTTGAAATATGCACTAACATCTAAAACATCAAATTAGTTTTATTAAATTATTATCCATGACATATGTTCTCTCTCTCAAATACGCAGGAGAGCCATGGAATAAGTTGATAATGTATTTATTGGGACTTATAGATGTTAATATATTTTTCCAAAAATCTTGGTTAAAGTTAAAGTAGTTTGACTTAGGACAAACCCCAAGTGAACTACAATTTGGAACAGTATTAACTGGATGGATCTGATAAGTTGGTCCACCAATATTTTCATCTCCCATAACCATATTGATAGAAAAACAAAGAATGTGGTCATCCACCAATGTTATAGGATGATGCCATGTTGGACCAATCTAGCCTAGGATCAAGCAATCCCTCAACCAAACACCCTAGTAATCATCTGGATCATCATTCCGCATATAAGTGTCACTTTAGAGTTCACAGTTTCCAGGATACAACTTTGAACACTAATATTAAAAAAAAAAGGAAGCAGAAACACCAAATGCCCAGAGAGGCAACCAACCATGCATTTCAAGTCAATTCACGGTGAGCTAGTTTCACAAATGCTACCAATTTATATTAGGGCTAACATGAATGAGCAAGTTAGAACCAGTGAATTACCCACCGATTGCCAAAATGATGAACAGTTCAAAGAGCATAGTACAGATGCTCAGTTTATTTAAATGTTACCACCACCACAACAACAACAACAAGATCTTTAGGTCCCAAACAAGTTAGGGTAGGCTAGAGTTGAAACCCAGCAGAAACGATCAAGGTTCAGGCACGTGAATAGTTGTTTTCCAAGCACTCCTATCTAAGGCTAAGTCTTTGGGTATATTCCATCCTTTCAAGTCTCCTTTTATTGCCTCTACCTAAGCCAACTTCGGTCTTCCTCTGCCTCTCTTCACGTTACTATCCTGGCTTAGGATTCCACTGCGCACCGGTGCCTCTGGAGGTCTCCGTTGGACATATCCAAACCATCTCAACCGATGTTGGACAAGTTTTTCTTCAATTGGTGCTACCCCTAATCTATCACGTATATCATCGTTCTGAACTCGATCCCTTCTTATATGACCGCAAATCCAACGCAACATACGCCACTTATCTGTTGAACATGTCGTCTTTTCGTAGGCCAACATTCTGCACCATACAACATAGCAGGTCTAATCGCCGTCCTATAAAACTTATCTTTTAACTTCTGTGGTACCCTTTTTGTCACATAGGACACCAGATGCTTGGCGCTACTTCATCCATCCTGCTTTAATTCTATGGCTAACATCTTCATCAATATCCCCGTCTCTCTATAGCATTGATCCTAAATATCGAAAGGTATCGTTCCTAGGCACTATTTGACCTTCCAAACTAATATCTTCCTCCTCCCGAGTAGTAGTGCCGAAGTTACATCTCATATACTCAATTTTAGTTCTACTGAGTCTAAAACATTTGGATTCCAAAGTCTCCCGCCATAACTCCAGTTTCTAATTCACTCCTGTTTGGCTTTCATCAACTAGCACTATATCGTCCGCGAAAAGCATACACCAAGGGATGTCTCCTTGTATGTCCCTTGTGACCTCATCTATCACTGAGGCAAATAGATAAGGGCTCAAAGCTGACCCTTGATGTAGTCCTATCCTAATCGGGAAGTCATCCGTGTCTCCATCACTTGTTCAAACACTAGTCACAACGTTGTACATGTCCTTAATGAGCCCGACGTAATTCGTTGGGACTTTATATTTGTTCAAAGCCCACCACATAATATTCCTTGGTATTTTATCATAACCTTTCTCCAAGTCAATAAAAACCATATGTGGGTCCTTCTTCTCCCTATACCGCTCCATAACTTGTCTTATTAAGAAAATGGCTTCCATGGTTGATCTTCCAGGCATGAATCCAAATTGGTTCATAGAAACCCGCGTTATTGCTCTCAAGCGATGCTCGATAACTCTCTCCTATAGCTTCATAGTATGGCTCATCAACTTAATTCCCCGATAATTAGTACAACTTTGAATAACCCCTTTATTCTTGTAGATCGGTACCAATATATTTTTCCTCCACTCGTCAGGCATCTTGTTCGATCGAACAATATGGTTGAATAGCTTGGTTAGCCATACTATAGCTATGTCCCCGAGGCATCTCCACACCTCGATTGGGATACCATCCGGTCCCATCGCCTTACCTCCTTTCATCCTTTTCAACGCCTCTCTGACCTCAGATTCTTGGATTCTCCGCACAAAGCGTCTATTGGTGTTATCAAAAGAGTCATCCAACTGAAAGGTTGTGTCCGTATTCTCACCATTGAACAATTTATCAAAATACTCTTGCCATCGATGTCGGATCTCATCCTCCTTCACCAAGAGATGCTCCCTTTCATCCTTAATGCACTTAACTTGGTTGAAGTCACTTGTCTTTCTCTCACGAACCCTAGCCATCCTATAAATGTCCTTTTCTCCTTCCTTCGTACTCAAATGTTGGTAAAGATCCTCGTACGCTCTACCCTTTGCCACACTTACAGCTCGCTTTGCAGTCTTCTTTGCCACCTTGTACTTCTCTATGTTGTCCACACTCCTGTCATGGTACAAGCGTCTATAGCATTCTTTCTTCTCCTTAATAGCCCTTTAGACTTTCTCGTTCCACCACCAAGTATTTTTAGCCTCGCCTCCACTTCCTTTGGTTACTCCACACACCTCCGAGGCCACCTTCCGAATGTTGGTTGCCATCTTCTCCCACATGTTGTTTATGTCATCTTCTTCCTTCCAAGAGCCCTCTTTGATAACCATTTCCCTGAATACCTCTGACGTCTTCCCTTTCAGTTTCCACCACTTTGTTCTTTCAATCTTAGCTTGTTTATCCCTACGGGCACGCACCTAAAAACGAAATTCTGCTACCAAAAGCTTATGTTGAGAAACAACACACTCCCTTGGTATCACCTTGCAACCCAAGCATGCTCGTTTGTCCTTTTCCTCTTGCGAGGATAAAGTCAATCTGGCTAGAGTGTTGTCCGCTACTGAAGGTCACTAGATGAGATTCTCTCTTTTTAAAGAAAGTGTTGGCTATCGTCGGTCAAAAGCTACCGCGAAGTCCAGAACTTCCTCCCCCTCCTGATTCCTACTACCATACCCAAAACCTCCATGAACTGCCTCGAAACCTGCGCTTGTAGTACCTACATGTCCATTAAGATCTCCTCCTATAAAAAGCTTCTCACTACTAGGTGCAGCTCTAATCAGGCCATCTAAGTCTTTCCAGAGCTGTCTCTTAGCACTCTCATCGAGGCCTACTTGCGGGGCATACGCACTAATTACGTTCAAGACCATATCACTAACGACAAGCTTGACTAAGATAATCCTATCTCCTTGCCTTCTCACTCCCACCACACCATTCTTGAGGCTATTATCAATCAAAACCCCTACTCCATTTCTATTCGTGACTGCCCCTGTGTACCAAAGCTTGAAACTTGTATTGTCCACCTCCTTCGCCTTCTGACCCTTCCATTTAGTCTCTTGAACGCATAATATATTTACACGCCTCCTAGTCGCGGTATCAACTAATTCTCTTAACTTACATGTAAGTGACCCTACATTCCAACTACCTAAACGAATCCTAGTTGGTTCGACTAGCTTCCTTACCCTTCGCACCCGTCGACTCAGATGTGAAGACCCTTGCTCATTTTTCACTACACCCGGGCGCCGATGTAGCGCGCCATTAAGGAAGCGCCACTAAATGTTACCAAAAAAAGAATATCAACAAATTCTAGATCAAAACAATATGGATACCGAAAAATGTAGTATATTCAAATGCCACCAAGAATGGAACATCAGCATATTCTGAATCAAGAAAATAAGGATACTGAAAAACATGACAAATTATTGGAAGAAACAAGCATGGTACCTCATACAGTGAACTAGTGGCCTCTCCTGGTAGGAATACGCCCTGAAGAATCATTCTATCTGGAAACTGAACTCGAATGACTGCTTGTTTATACTTCTGTCGAGCAGCCAATGCCTGCTTCTCCTTGTAAGACTTTGGTATCAGCAATCGAGATTGTTCTAACCTTTCCCTCCTCATCTTTGCTTCATTCCTTATCTCCTCACCACTAAGCTTGTAAAAAGAATCTGGTACATCGTTTTGTGCCACATAACTCCCAGGAACAGAGACAAATACCTGAATCTGTAAAGGTGACAACGCATACTGTAATCTTTTGGAGTTCAGTATAATATCTTATTAATACATTTTGAAGATAGTTCATGGCAGGACAGCAAGCAACAACATACACAAATCATACAATGTACCAAAATAAACATCAGAAACGATCAATGACATTGTAAACATGAATATCAGAGAACTAAAAGGACCTCCATATGTACGTATTAATTAGTCAGTCCCATATGAGCATTTCTGATATCCCTTAATTTATAGCTAGTGTCCCACTAATACCTCCTCAAGAAATGGTTACACATTTGGTACCACATACGATCTTCCGGGTACATGCCTTTACAATCTTGCACTGTTCTATGTTTATGCTAACAGCAATTTTTTTGAGATAATAGTTCAAAAGGGGAAATATGTTATAACTAGGATCTGTCTACCCAACAACCGAGTTTGCCGTGCCCCCGCCCTGCCCTCCTCCATCTCCAGCAGCTCCCCGCCACCGAATCTGCCACTGCCCACCGCTGCCATGCTAACCCGGCTTCGCTGAGCTATCACCATGCCGCTCACCGTTACCACGTGGCCCGCCCTCCTCCTCCATCTCCGCCGGCCCCATGCCGCTCACCACTACCACGCTAACCAGGCTTCGCTGCACCATGATGCCCCTGCCTCACCCTCCTCCATCTCCGCCCACCGCTGCCACGCTAACCCGCCCCGCCCTCCTCCTCCATCTCCGCTGGCTCCCTACCGCCCACCGCTGCCACGCTAACCTGGCTTCGCCGGGCTCCCACCATGACGCCCCCGCCCGGCCGGCGGCGCCACCGCCGCCTCACCCCCCGCCACCACCTGTCCGACCTTCCTCCCCAGTTTTTTTTCTAACCCCGCCAGAGTTGGAGAAGAAAGGGCACTCAACCCCAAACCCTAACCAAGCTAATCACAGGGCGCAAGAAATCGAGTGTTGGATTGCTCCAAAACAACCGAGTGTTGTTTAGCATTTGTCTATAACTAACTATTATCTCCTAAGTCCTAATGAAGCTAACAGCGCAACGAAACAAGCCTAAAATTGGCAGTTCATGTAAAAATGTCATGACATAATAAGTAAATCAAACAACCAAACTGTGCTGATTGATGGGAATGAAAGCTGTGTTACCCAGCTGATTAATGCTAAAACAAGCACATTAAATGTCTTATTACCAACCTAAACCCTCGGCTTACCTGCCGATCAATAGTCTTAGCACCTTCCTGCACATCAGCCACATTGCTGCTGCTCTCCTTGGCCTCAGCCTCCGCCTTCACTGGAGGCGCAGAGGGGTGTGCCCCCTCGAGCAGGAGGACGGCCCTCCTGATCCCGTTGAGCCTAGCGTCGCTGGGCACTTCGTCCATCACGGCGAAGGGCTCCCCGCCCTCATCCCCAACCGTGAAGCCGACGGCCTCCAGGAGCTCCACCCCGCCATCCCTGTCCGTCACAGCCTCCTTGATCCGCGGGTTGCCCAATCTCACCCGCCTGAACTTGTCGTTGCCGGGCTCCCGGAGCAGATTGCCCAGCAGGCGTTTGACCACCTCGACGGAGGCCCCGGGCGGAGGCGGGTCGGCGGCGAGGTACGCGGCGGCGCGCGCGCGGGCGCCCCCCGCCGACGCGAGACAGCCGTCGAGATGCTCGGAGACGGCGAGCTCGGACGGGAACGCGTCTCCGCAGCTGGGGCACGCGACGGTGGCGGCGGCCGCGGTGCCGTTCGCATCGGGGCGGCGGGAGGAGGAGGAGGAGGAGACGAGGGGCGTGAAGGGGGTGAAATCGGTGGTTGAGGTGGGCGGGGGAGGTGGCGACGGCCGCTTAGGGGCGGGCCTGGGGTTTGGGCTAGGGTTTGAGGGGCGGGCAGCGGGGTGGGAGGAGGAGGGGGAGGGGCCGGAGCCGAGGACGTGGGAGGTGCCCTTGAAGGAGGAGGCGGTCCCGGACCCGGAGGAGGTGACCTTCTTCATGAACTCCTTCATCTTGTCCTTCATCATGGCGCGGCGCCGGCGGCGGAGGAAGCGTGGGCGGCCGCGAACAGAGGGGATTGGGGGCGTGGACGCGCTCACGCGGAGTAGACGACTTGGTTGGAGTGGCGCTGGTGGATCGTTGTCGCCGCGGGGACGAAGCAAACGAGGAAGAAATAAGAAAGAACGAAGTAGCAATAAAAGCGAGAGGCGATACAGCTTGGGCGTTGTTTAGATGAGTTTTTTCACTCTCTCTCCGTTGTTTAGATTCAAATTCAAATTCAAGCGAAAATTTTAACGTTTGTTTGTGCGGCTGTATAGTTTAGAAATCACGAGATAAATCTTTTGCTGGTTACTGGAGTATTTATCTGCCAAAATAAGATTTATTCATAATGTTCATCTTTTGCTACTAGATTGCAACGAAAATCGTTTGTTTGTGCGGCTGTACTTGTGTCTACTGGAGTAGCTGCCAAGGCATCTTCGCTACTAGACTGTATGGCGGGCCGCAATACCTTGCTGGGCTGCACGGGCTGGTAGCCTCGTACACGATCAGAGCCCGGGAATCAAAATGGGCCTCTCGCGTTTCTCACGCAGCAGTAAGGGCCTGTTTGTTTCCGCGGTCGCGTCGCGTTTCAGCCGAAATCACGAGAAAAACCTGCCGAACACCTCACGTGAACGCGCGTCCGCCGGCCGCCCACAACAGGATACGTTGAAAAATAAAGAGGCTTTTACACGTGTGTTATTAAAAAAGTCTGTAATTACACACGTATCATTAAAAAAGTTGACCGCACACATATGCCACCGTTCTGAACTTTTTTGCTCTCCAAGCCATTCCATCCGCATTCCGTTCGTTTTTCACCGTTTGGGAGTCCTAACAAGTAGGTCAGGTCAGTCAAAACGTCCATAATACCCTTTCATCCCTATCCTCTCCCTCTCAAACTCGACCTCATCTCTCTTCTCCACGCTGCCCCCCGCGGAGCTTGCCTGCCTCATGCTGCGCTGGCCGGGTGGAGCTCCCCACCATGCCGCTGCGCATGGTCGGGTGGCTTCGCCTGTCACGCGCTGCTTCACGGCCGGGCGGGCGAGCTCCCATGCCCCACAGCATGCATGGTCGCCGTCGTGAGCTGAGCCTACCACGCTGCAGCACCGGTGGGGCGGCGGAGCTCGCCCACGTCGCCCATGACGCGCGAGCTCACCTCCACGCCAGCCAAGGCAGATCCACACGAGGGACCGGCCGCAGCGGCAGCTCCATGCGCGCCGCCTCCTGGCTCTCGCCACCGTCGTTGGGGACGAGGCCGCCTCCCTGCACACTGGGGCCCTCGCAGTCGTCGTCGGGGCTCGTGTCGGTGTGCGTGGGAGAGCTCCGCCCTCGGCTGCTGCAGCTCCCCTTTGCTCACCATGTCCATCCCCACCATCTCCTTCTTCTTTGTCGCGGCGGCGCGGGAGGCGTGCCTGCACCTCGCCCGGGCACGGAACGGAGGCGCAAGAGAAAGAGAGAGAAAAATAGAGTTTGGGTGGCTGACAAACGGACTCCACCGTAGAGTAAAATGGTCATTTCACCTGTCTATTTGACACCGTTAAGTAGAAAAGCGGACGGAATGGCTTGGAGAGCAAAGAAGTTTAGAACGGTGGCATATATGTGTGGTCAACTTTTTTAATGGCATATGTATAATTTCAAACTTTTTTAATGGCACACATGTAAAAGCCTCAAAAATAAATTGCACGATGGGAAATCGCCAACGCAACATCTGAGCCGCGTTCGCTTATCGCGGAAACAAACATGCCTTAAGCACATTGGAAGCCATGACGACAAGCCACTGAATGGCATTCACATCTTCTAAGGTGAATCATTTCTAACATCAGACACAACTGAAGAAATTCATTGTTGGCTTGTTCTCAAGTTGCTGTTTGGTTCAACTTTTGTGATGGTAACACTAATGTAATGCGGAAAGACTAGCGCAGATGGTTGCACGCGTCCGACCGTCCGCGTCTGCTCCACCCTAGTCTCTCAGATTCGCGCACCATTCGTGCCAACTTTGCTTCCCACACCCGCGTTCGGGCCGTTCCCTTCCACTTCGCTGCCCACACCGCCTGGATGACTCGGCCCCGTCTCTTCCACATCGGCGCCTCGCTCGCCTCTTCCACACCACTTCGCGCCCACATCTTCCGCGCCGCTCGGATGACTCCCCTACCCCTTCCACACCGGCGCTACGCGGCCTGACGCCTCCTCCCCACATCGGTGCCACCATGGCTCCCGCTATCTCTCTCTTCCTCGCTCAACAACCCTACATCTAGATCTGCTTTTACAACACCCAGATAAAACAATTGCAACATACGTTTGAAACAAATAAAACATTTGAAACATATATTTGCAACATAGCCATTGCAACATATGCAACATCCAGATAAAACACTTGAAACATGCGTCTAAAACAGATGAAATATTTTGAACAAACTCTTGTAACATTCGTGTATAACCATTGCAACATGTGCAACATCCAAAAACTACCATTGCAACATCCATATAAAACATCTGAAATATATCTCTGAAACATCTGAAACACTTCAAACATGCATTTTGCAACATAGGGAAGGCTGGGGCCGGTCGATTCTAGGCGTCGGGGTGGCAGCCGACGGCGAGCGGCAACGCGCGAGCACCACCATCATCAGCACCACTAACAACGGCCTTGGCTCAACCGGGCAGGCGGCACGCGCGATGGGTGGGAGTAGACTGCATGTGTGACGGGAGGGAGGAAGCGAGGCGGAGTGGGGCGACAGTCTCAGCGAGCGTGGAGTGGGCGGGGGTGCGCGGTGTGGATGGGCGACGTGGGTTTAGATGCGCGGCGCGCAACATAGGTGAGCGACGCCGGTGGGTCGGTCCATCGGACAGACGCCCGTGGCGTATCATTAACGTAATGTAATCAGCTCACGCTGCTATCTGTTAGTGTAGATGGTAGCTTTTGTTTGGCTATTAGGACACGAACGACCTCACGAATTTCCTGCTTCCCGCAAGCAGAGACGGGGAGAGAAGTGCGGGGCGCAGTCGATCAATCGATAACTCTGGGCGATGGGCACTATCGTTCTAAAGACAACACAGGTTTCAGACACCGCGTCAATCGGAAGCAAATGAGGTGATGATGCTGCTGTGAACCGGTGGTAACGAGGTAAAACGCCCGAAGTCCCAAACCAAACACGCTCTTACTTCCTAGCATATCAAATGAGAAGTGTGCAAGGATCACTGCTAAAAGCATCTAGGCCTCTAGTTGGGTTTCGATGATTAATAACGATACGAGATTACTATAACTAACGTGTGTTTTGCAGGGGCAATTTGAGTTAGGTCATGGTAATGGTAATTGATTGGGCAATCATGGTTGTCATACCCCTGACGATGGAAATCATTTCGGTTTTTAAAGGATGGGTTTCTAAGCGTCATTTGGTATTGGAGAGACACTTAGAGTAGTTTAGGACTTTGTTTTTCCTTTGGCTATATTATTAAGGGGGGTATGGACTAGTAGCTTGACCTAGGTGAGTCTAATGGGTTAGGTGTGGTGCACACTGATCAAACCTAGCACTAGGTAGCTTAGGAATAGCCCTAAGATCAATTGGAGTAAACTTCATTCACATAGGATTTTGAGTTGGAAGTGAATGAAGGGTCAAAAGACTGACCGGACGCTGGTCTGGTTGTGACCAGACGTTGGAGGGTGAGTTCGGTCAGTTTATTTGATCAACTGAAGTCGACTGGTACTGATCGGACACTGAGTGAAAGTGGACCGGATGCTGGGTTCCTGTGTTTGGTCAACTCCAGGGAGGTTCTAGAGAGACTGTTTTTCTGACCGGACGCGTCCGGTTGGTACTGACCAGACTCTGGTTAGGATCCAGTAACTGACCGGACGCTGAACAGTGAAGTGACCGGACTCTAGGTGCCAGCATCTAGTCAACATCAGTAAGGTTACAGAGAGTGTTTTTCTTGACCAAACGCAGGTCAGAGTCCGGTCAGAACTTCACGGCTCTTTCTAACACAGTGGCGGGTATAACTGACCGGAGCGTCCGGTCACCCCGCAAAACGTTGACTCATCCTTCAAATGTTATGTTTTGAATGAGGGGGTATAAATACTTACTCCACTCGTCCAAGGGAGGTCTCTTGCCAATTTGTTCAGCTGAGAAACACCTTGAGAGTGCAAGGGAGAGCAAAAGCCCAGGAGGTGATTTGAGATTTGAGAATCCAAGATTAAGATTCTCATTAGTGCAAAGAGATTAGCAAGTGTGCATCCACCCTTCTTATTAGGCTTGTCGTGGTCAAGTGAGACTTTGTGCTTGTTACTCTTGGTGATCGCTGAAAGGTCCTAATGGCTAGAGGGGGATGAATAGCCTATTAAAAATTTCTACAACAGCACTTAGCAAACCGGTTAGACAATTATGAGATGAAGCAGGTATTATGCTAGCCTACTAAAATTATAAGCCACCTACCACAATTTTAGTTTCTATAGTTTCTATCCACACAATGGCTATGTCACTACACTAAGTTAGTGTGCTCTCAAAGACTAACTAAAGAGCCACACTAACTAAACTAACAAGCTCTCACAACTAGCTACACTAAAGAGCTTGATAACTAGTTTGCGGTAATGTAAAGAGAGAGAGCAAGATAGTTATACCGCCGTGTCGAGGAGTGAACCAATTAATCACAAGAATCAATATCAATGAAGACCAATCACCTCAAAATCAAATGATGACACAATGATTTTTTTCCGAGGTTCACTTGCTTACCAGCAAGCTAGTCCTCGTTGTGGCGATTCACTCACTTAGAGGTTCACGCGCTAATTGGCATCACACGCCAAACCCTCAATAGGGTGCCGCACAACCAACACAAGATGAGGATCACACAAGCCACGAGCAATTTACTAAAGTACCTTTTGGCTCTCCACCGGGGAAAGGTCAAGAACCCCTCATAATCACCATGATCGGAGCTAGAGACAATCACCAACCTCCGCTCGATGATCCTCGCTGCTCCAAGCCGTCTAGGTGGCGGCAAC